CACTCCCTATCCTTAGTTCGGGTGTTGACGCAGACCAGTCCTGAAGCAACAACTTGCATTTAGAGGGAGAGAAGTGCATTCCAAACATTCTGGCATTGTTGCTTAGTGCTACCAGAAGACTCTGCATTTTGTCAGCGTTTTCACCAAACAGGACTATGTCATCTGCGTATTCCAAGTCGATAAGTGGACCTCCTGGAAGGAGATCAATACCCGAGAATTCAGTCGACGAGAGTGTTATTTCCATCAATAGGTCTATGATGAAGTTAAACAAAAATGGAGAAAGTGGGCAGCCTTGACGCACACCACTTGAGGTTGCAAAAGTAGATGACAGTTCGCCATAAGCCCTGACTCGACTAGTAGTGTTCGAGTAAAGAGCCTTCACAAGGTTTATGTACTTCTGAGGTACGCCTTTCAATGACAGACACTGCCACAGAGCCCGACCGTTGTTGCTACCTTGACGCGGTGGTCGGGCTTGCCTATCGTGATGAAGCAACCGAGCTATACTGACTGGAACAACCGTTCCTCAAGGTCCTACCATGTCAGACAGGTCGGTTGAAGAGCGGTAAGACTAAAAGCAACAAACTCAAGGTCCGAAGGTGAAGTCGTACTGCTGACTGTACAGAGGTGTGACAGCAGTAAGGTGTTTCCTTCAGACAACCAGCATGACAGCGATGCTGCCTTCCCACAAGGAGGGGTGGAGTTAGAAAAGGTCGACCCTAAAAATGCACACCTCACCTTATCTCACGGATATCCGTCTCCGGCGGTAAGGTCTCAATAAGTACGGAGCTAACACAAAAATTACCCATAACAAGGTCGTGTGTGATCGACCTCAAGCAGTTGTCCCTTGGGCACTGCGGTCACGCTCTCAGGTCACTAAGACCACCTTTAATCCAATTTCCTTTTCAGGTAGCTCCAGAAGAACCCTTCCACGTTGTGTGCAACCGGGAAGTGATAACCGCCCTCATACCTCTAACAGCACTCAAGACCACTGTATTCATAATCAACCTCCCTCTTCAATTCCTATTATTCCTCCTACATCGACTTTAGATGACAAATGAAATCTTTATTGAAAATCATTCTGTTATATGCAGCTTTCACCTGCTAGATGAACGTCAAAGTGCTCAAAGATGTTAGATATTGTTCTTCCATTGAACATTAAGAAAGTATGGTTAGATGCACATATTTGAGCACAGTTGAAAGTTCTTGGCACAACGATTCGGAATAATATATTTGTTTACATAAATTGAAGAAATCAAACTTAGTATTTAGAATCAATGAGAATGTGCATGTTAGATCAATATCGATGTATGATCAACTTTCCAGCATATTTTCGTCTGATTTTCAATACATTTTTACTGTGATTTATGTATAGTAATATTTGCTCAGTTCATAAATTTTGATCATTGTAATTGATTCATAATTGATCATTTCTAATTCTACTAAGGTCATAATTAATAACGCTTCTATTATATGACTGAACTTCTCACTGTAGTTAGAGAAAGGGTATTAGAGAAAAAGAGAATGGAAGTAGTCTCGTTCATTGTATTGAAGTCAGAGTTGCGAAATATTAGTGTGTAACACATGAATATATCAGATGGGTTTTGTGGATATTATAGTAATTTCAATGATTAAGATCATGAGTCAGTTGAAGCTAGACCACCATGGAAAACCTGGAAGCACTGGACGGACCACAATAGGACGAAACGGCCTTCCAGTGCTTCCAGGTTTTCTATGGTGGTCTAGCTTCAACTGACACATGAATATATGACAAATGCCTAGAGAAATGTTTCCCATAGTAGTTTGACAACTATTTATCATTATGGGGTTGTGCACCACTGGAGTAGCCTTGTTGATGATGACATATACACGTGTAGTTCAAAATAGAATAAGACAAAATAAGAATACACAAATATAAAAATTTCATCGATCATTAAGATGCAAAAATCATGTACTGTTCATCAATGAGATTAGTGAAACGTTTCTTTTGTTGTTTTTATTCCAATATAAATAAACGGTTGTCATGTTTCTTTTTATTATAAATATTTTTGTTTATAAATGAACTATCATTAGTACATAAGGCATGTGACATTATGTTGGGGATGTCAGATCCCCAGAATTCACTTTATAAACATTTTGTTTTCGTAATTTTATTCTGTAAATTTGAATTTTTGTTTTCGCGCCAAAGGAACCCACTTTTACCTTCAGATTGTATTTCCCACTTAGAAGAACCCTTAATGTCAGTGGTTCGTTATATCTTTCAATAGGCTATTTTGTGACGTTCCCCAAGGACATTTTTATGCTGTATATATACGCCTGAGTTGTGCTTGTTGTTGTTCTTGCTTCTGGCTGCTTGTGGAATACACTCCCCCTCTTCTGGACCTGAATTTCTCTCTTTAGTTGGCGGGCCTGGGACGCATCGGAATAGTTAGCTTATTTTGGTATTGTGTCACTGGGTCTTTGTTCCGCTCGCCGATTTAGGTGATCTCGTAATCTCTTCAAACATAGAACATCACTAGTAGTGTCCTGAAAATTCTTTTCTAATCTAAAACCGAACTTAACACATTGATATTTTTGATTTAGATCATGAATCGATTGATGTTAGACCACCATTGAAAACCTGGATGCACTGAACGGCCGTTTCGTCCCATTGTGGGACTCCTCAGCATTGCGCGTCCCCGATTCTGCTCGCAGGATTCGAACCCAAGGCCTTCAGTCTCGCGCGCGGATGCTTAACTTGCTGGACCACCGAGCCGGCATCCAATGGTGTTAATGTCTAACCTCAACCAATCCACGAATTTGCGCAACCATCTTCCATTGTACTGAGGTAGATACCTGTCTCTACCCGACACGGATTAGCTTCTCTGGTCACGGCTGTTTTTTATTATTTATGAGCTCAACAGGTTGGTTGTGAAGCTTTCATTGTTCCTCTGAACAACATCATCGGCACGTAATTCAAAAAGAAGTGAGCTATTAGAATCTCTCAACAGTTGATTAACAAATTGTTCTTTCGACCTGAAAATTGATTGATTGTTATTAAAAGTTGCGTGGCTGTTGTTTTTATGTTTATTTTGATCCACTAACCTGAACTCTGATCTTGTGGTTGTTAATTCTTTTTCTTTTTGGTTGATAGATGTAGTCGATTTCGATTTGCTTATTAATTGATGCTTGATTAAAGTATCAGGCTTCTAAGAGTTTTCTGGCTTTATTTGTATTTCTTTACTCCAAACGGAAGTCTGTTATATCCAAACAACCTTTCATACGTGTTTATTTTCATGTAATGCTTGCATTCTTCATCTACTGGAATCTGTAGATAAGCTTCTGATAAATCCAGTTTTGCAAAATATTCCCCCCCATTCAGTTTCGCAAATAAGTCTTCTGGTAACGCAGAGGGTACTAATGGGCTTCAAGTGCTTCGTTTAATCCAGTCGAATAATCTGCACATAGCCGGATACTTCCATTAGGCTTCTTAGCAATCACTATTGGTGCTGCCCAATCAGAAAAATTTACTTGTTCTATGATTCCACTTCTTTGTATGCGCTCTAATTCTTGTTCAACAATAGGTAGCGCTGCATAAGGTACCGGACGTTTTAGTCTGAACATGGGGGTGACTCCCGGTTTAAGAATTAGTAGTGCTTTTACCCTTTTGCATTCCTCCAACTCTTCCGTGAACACTTAACTATGTCTTTCCAACACAACACTCCTCAGACTCTTTTCCGCTGGTTTGTTGGTTCTCACGCAGCTGCATATGTGGTTAATGGAGTGGTTTACTAGCTCTAGTGTTTCCATTAGGTCTAGACCCAGCAAGTCTAGTCCTGGATTCTCTGTGAGATATAATGTTGCATTCGTCTTCGCGTTTCTTTTTGAAACTATACAGCAAACCTCTCAACAAATATTTAATTTCCCTCCAGATGGACTATGAGCTAACTGGGTTGTTGAGAGCACCTGAGGTTTTCCAATATGCTTCCAGGTCTTTCGCCTGATAAGTGTGATATCGGAAGCAGTGTCGAGCTTCAGGCGGGCACGTAGACTGTCAGCCTCGATAGTTACATATTTCCATTGGCTATGTCCTGATCGTGCATGTGCTACCACTATTTGGTTGGTTGATGCATGGGGTTTATGTCGCCTGGAATGAAATCGCGATGGACGACGATACATCTTTTTACAGTAGGATTCTTCATGTCCTTTTCGCTGACACTTAGTACAACGGTAGCTTTTATATCGCGGTACTGAGTTTATGTCATCTTTTAAACGGTTTTGTAATGAAAACGGCTTATCGCATCTACAGTCACCTCCGCACGATCCTCAGTCGAATGGCCGAAACTGGACAGACCTTGGCAAAGAATACACGCTCATTTCGTCGGTTCAATACAAGTCAGAAATTGATTGGTTGCTGTCGACGCTTTCACAAAATGGCCAGAAGTATATAACATGCCGAAAACGATATCAGAGAGTACAATAAGAAGATTGTTAGCATCGTTTGCTTGTTTTGGAGGTTAATAAATCTTCACTTATACCAGTCTTCGTGTGTTTACTTTTGCGTCGTGGGAATTGCAGAGGTCCGTCGTTTCGAGTATAAGTAATAAGCGTTCCCAACACAACAGTCAGCGACCATATATAACAAGTAGCGTTCAATCGACAAGACGTATCATTCGTCTGTCCAATAATTCAACTTTTCCTTGCTGAAGTTACGTGCACATGCATCAATCTAGCTCAGATCACACTGACTCCAACATCATTGTGAGCCACAAGTGTCCTCTATCAAATTTGATATTTTGATGCAGTAAGTGAGCGTCTTGTAACTCACAAAAGAGACCAACATTTAATGCTTTTCAATAACTCTGTTTCACAACAACGATCCAACAAGAATTCATTGGTATATGTTATGGTGTGATTTCCCTTGCATATACATTAGAATACAAATTTCAGAATGGTTGTATTTCAGTCAATCTCAGTTCAAAATGAACACCCTGATCCTAACTCCAGATCCTATTTTTATGTAAATGCATCATGATCTTAAAACAATATCACAACTTGGCCCTTATAACTTGAGTAAGAATATGCGATTTTGTTTGAGCATGGTAAGACGGATGATGATAGTATATATCATTTATAATGAAAATGTAGCGATGCAAAATAGCTTCATAAGGTCCCACTATCCCTATATTATAGTTTCATTGTCCAAAACCTCACTTAAAAATCATTACTCGCAAACCACCTCTTTATATACAAGTTAGACAAATGTAATATGTATTTGGAATCTATAATGTCATCACCATGCCTCTTTTATGTTGTTATAAGCTCCCGTGTGAGTTAACTATTGAGATTTTTAGTCAACTTTATGAAGACTAACGTCGTCATTCAGTTTATGCTTGTACAAGCTTAGATATTATTGATTACTGCTGTCATTTATGCAAAATATCTTAGTCGCTCAATAACTCAGTAAACCCACCTGATATAGTGCCGGTCAAAGTAGGCTGTGATTAACCGATGAATGGAGATGGACATTCGGACGCAATAAATCTGAAAAACTAATCTGATATGTTAAATCGATTTCTTTACTGTTTTCACCTTTATTCCACTCATTGATTGCTTTGGGTTATGTGTTAATAAACTCTTAGTCTTGACCGTTTTGTAGAATAATTGAGTCGAATGTATTACATAATAAAATATTTTAGTGATCTATTTCAATCTTACCGATCTAATTGTCTACTATCTAGTGTAGGATTCCAGGGGCAAACCTGCCATTTTTCTTCTATAACAGCATCATATAGCTTCACAAGATTTTTATTCCATTTTGATGCTCCATATCTCAATATTGGTCTCTTTATATATATTAGTTGCGTTAACACACAAAACTGAGTACAGTAGATCTCGGTTTCAAGTTTCTTCATTTTACATCACAAAGAAGAAATTTGCATTCATTTGGGTCACGACTATGTTAGCAAAGAAAGTCAAAGGCACACATGAGTAAGATGTTGAAAATTCAGTTGAATTGAAAATGATACTTGCTTACTTACGGTCGTACTCTAGTTTTCAGTGTCATTCTTCAACCAGTTAGTCTATAATCTCTTAAGTACTCTTAATAAGGTCAGTCAATAAAGTAACGGAATAATATCGTGATGAGTAGAAAATTCAGATCTTCTGACGTTTCGTGACTCAATGTAAGCCACGTCTTCAGAGAATAAATAATCAAATCAAAGTTAATCCAAGTTTAAATATAACTAAATAATGTTATATTTTAACTACGATACTTTTAACCTCTTCTCAACTTACTCCTATACTAGTCATGTTTTATCTAACATGTTTACCTGCTTCGGTTTGGGTGCCTGGACAGTATCACAGCTCTCACACTGCTACTGGCATCACTGTTATTGTGTTGCGCATATGTATGTATTTGGTGTCCCCTTATACCAATGTTTATTTTTTCAAATAAATAAATGAATAAACATGTTTACACACCTTAATTCACTTATTTCGCTAAACTTTCTTTAAATTCAACCACAAAATGAAGGTATTTCATTTTGTTATGGTACAGCAAAATTATTCAATGTACTATAGAGGTTCGCATAAGTTCATGGGTTTTATCTGTTATGTTAGAGTTAAGAATTCTGCTTGGTTGTTTAAACAATAGTGCGTGATGGGACCGACTTCATACTACTATTTATCCATTCGTTGAAATTATGACTAAACGTTTATCGTACATCGTTATCAAGTTCAAAGATTACTTTGACAGATATTTTGACCAACCTACGTATTATGTTTTAAATGTAATCAATATAGCGTGATATTATTTATCGATCTAAACAACTGCATCTTTTGTTTATAAGTTGTTTACTAAATGTTTCTTCTTTTCTCCCAGTTGCTCGAACTGGAGATCAATTGGCTAAAGATGTGTTTCATGATGCCGGTGTTCAATTGGCTCAACATGTCAGAGCTGCCTTATATTACTATGTTATGGTAATTACATTTAATAATAAATGTACCATTTTTCATTCAGTAATATCAATCTTCATCGTAAATTTTATTTAGATTATAATTAAGTCGTGGATGAATTAAGGGAATTATGTTTATGATTATTTCATAAAGATCTATTAGTTACTGTAAGACTTTCAATGTTTTATTCTTGGTCATTCTGATCAGTCATTTTGTAGTGTATGCTACTGATATCGGCCCCCAAATGCCCTGGTATGGCCGAGAGTGGGGAGAGTCCGCTCTCCCTCTCGAAATGCTCTCACATGGCCATGCATATATAGCCTCTGCCAGGGAAGTCCTACTCACTGCCTTCTCGTGGCGGGGGTGTTGTTTACGAAAATGAGAGGACGAAAAGCGAATGTCCGGCGCTTTAACCGGATTCCAAATCAATGGTGCACATGGGCTACAGTATCCTGCGGGAACAAATGGCGTATGAACCAATTGTTGGTCACCGGCTTCCATGGGACTGCATCTCCTGACGATGCTCCAGTGCCTTGTGGATCAGGGGAGTGGCCCCCTAAGAAAACCACCTGCTTCGGTTTGGGCACCCGGGTAGTATCACAGCCCTCACACATATCGAATGAGATTTGTGTGGCGCATATGTATTTGGTGCCTCTTTGTACCATTATCTATGTGTTAAAATAAAATAAATCGACAGATTTAAGTCGTATGTATCTTCATTCGAAAGTGAAATACATGGTAGCAGAAGGTTAAGAAGATCGAAGAAAAGAGAACAAGAACAGAGAATGATTGGCGTGAAAACGAATAAACAATGAAGTCTGATACAATTGATGAAGAATTTGCAAATGAAGTATTTACTGTATGGTTCTTAGGTTTTGTTATGGGATTCTGTAATTTTGTATTCATATACATTCGATTGTCCCCATTTTTGTTCTCATTCACTACGGTTTGATCATGAAATTCCGATTGAGCACTTTGTGAAAATATTGATCTCTCTAATTACATAATATTCATTGATATTCAGTTTTGTGTTTGAAATTCTTACGGTTGAATCACCCCCTCAAGTCCTTTCAGAATTTCATCACATTTATCAAGCCATCATAACAATGAGGACAGACTGGGTATGTTACGTTAGTATAAGGATTAATTCATGATCTCTAGATTACCAGTATGTTGTTTTTATTCTACCAATTGAGCTATAAAATCCAGCTCAAAACCCCTGTTTAAGATTTGTTTTAAATTGTCCTATATAAATAGATAAAATAATTCACCTAAGGTTTTTTAGTTCGATCCAAATGTGTTAAAGTTAAATTGAGAAACTGACAAGTAAATTGTTTCAGCTGAAGGATATTGTGGAAATCGGTTTGATTTGTACTATGTATTCTTTACAAAGTGATCTCAGTTAGGGTATCATAGTAAACCAAGAATCACTGCATAGCTGTTTTGTCTTAATATGGAACTGTTCATTAGTACACACTCACGACTTTACCAAAAACCAAATCTAGGACTTCCAAGTCGTTCGGGAAATGTTTGACGATTTTTTTTAAAGAAAAACTTTATCTAGACTTGATGTTTCGTTTTGTTTTTCATCATCTGATTATTATGATATTTATTTATCTCTCATCAAGTCATATTCTTTGGAATACATATTTGAAGGTTTGTCGCGAAATTCATTGGGAATCATTATAAAGATCACACTTTCGAGATGGTGGAGAAGATTTGTTGCTCAGGTGAATAATTTTGATGGAGTTTTATCCTCTGAACTGAATGGTTTAGTCGTGGAGCTTTCATCGTTCTTCTGAACAACATTATCAGCATACACTTCAGGTAGAAGTGAAGTACCTGAAGATTGTGCTTATGATGTCGTTCAGAAGAACGACGAGAGCTCCAAGACTAAACCATACAGCTCAGAGAACAAAACTTCATCAAAAATATCACACTGGTTATCTTAATAATTTATCACAACTAACCAAATGACCTTAAGATTAACAATGGTGATATAGATCTATTTTATGATAGGTCAAACAGATTTTCTTTTTTAACTTGATTATATTTTATCCAATCAAACAATTGTCTACTTAATTCACTTTTCTACTGTATATTACCGTACTTCTAACATTTGACCTCAAATATCAATCAAATTGTAATCGTGTCAAATAATTCCAAGTCATTTATACAATGTCTTTTTCTTAGTTAATACACTAACTGTTGTTAGGTGGTCGTTGAAGGTAGTCAACAGGAAACCCTGGACCCGGGTTTTGTGCTACTTGGCACTCGTCAGCAAGGTGTACCTGTAATCTTGAGGGAACTAGTGCTCCCCGACGGATTCGACCCCGTGTCACCAAGCTTCACAGTCAGAGACGTTACCACTGAGCTATCCGGGCGGCGACCGACCCCCTGTAGGATTGAGATATGATCACTGGGTGGTCGATAGCATTCGACCTGCACTAAGAAGGACTTGACACATGAAATTGATCACCACCCAGTGATCAGTCATCTGTATTAATCATACCATAATTATTTGATTACATCAGTTATCGCGGTATCATTCGTGCTTAAGCAATCATTCTCTGACTTAACCACCTGATTTTCTAACATTTAAAGTAGTACTTTATTCTTGTAATATAAATTCATTTTCTTTTTAGTTAGTAAATTTGAGCCTCTATCTCTTTACTATCTAGTGTCATTGTAGAATTGCTCTATAAAACCTTAATGTTGGTAACATAAAATTAATTAAAATCATCATGCCATAATGTAGAATATTGACCCCCAAATGCCCTGGTATGGCTAAGAGTGAAGAGAGTCACCTATCTCTCTCTCTTGAAATGTTCTCACAATGCCACATGCATACAACATTGCCAGGGAAGTCTTGCTCACTGCCTTTACGTGGCATTACTGTTGTTTACGAAATCGAGAAGACGGATAGGAAATGTCCGGCGCTTTAATCGGGTTGGTGGTCCACCTAGGGAAATTGGAAAACCCTCATTCCAAACCAGTAGTTCACATGGGCTTCAGTACCCTGAAGAAACCAATGGCGTATAAACTAATCATTGGTCACCGGTTACCATAGGACTGCATCTCCTTGCGTTGCTCCATTGCCTTGTGGATTAGACCTTTAGGAAACCACCTACTTCGGTTCGGGCACGCGGACAGTATCCCAGCTCTCACGCAAATCGAATGCTTCGTGTGGCATATATATATTTAGTACCTCTTTGTACCAATGTTCATGTGTTAAAATAAATAAATAATATTATGGTTAATACCTTCAGTCTTTCAATAACGAATTGAGGAGTGAATGATGATATTATCCGTAGTTAAATATTTTCAAGGGAACCATTCAGTTACTTTATAATCTGTAAAATATTACAAATAATCCAGTATTGATTGGTTAGAGTAGGGATTAATGCCAACTCGTATTCAGCATACCAATCATCTGAGTAAAGTCAATGAAGATTGAATAAAATATTTCACAAATAAATATTACATACTAAATTAGGCTGTGGATGATCAATTTGAATATCAGTATAAGACTACTTAATCTAATATTTCAGTATCATTATCTAAAAATCCCATTACTGATGTAGTTTAAGTGTGAAGATCATGTGGATGCTTTTGGTGATTTCATGTTTTCTAAAGTAAATCGTTTAGTTTCGGAGTTCTTCATAGTCTAGTTCCGGACAGCATTATCATCGTCTACTTTATATAGAGTTCATGAAGTAGTATTGTCCAGAGCAACTATGAAAGCTATACAAGTTAACTATATAGTTCAACGTACACAACAACAACTACAACACTGAACTATAGACCTTTCATTCCTTTTAAATCAATACTTTTTTCAAATACTTATTCGTGGAGTCTAAGGTGTAGGTCTTTCATTATGTCCTATTAGCGTAATTGCTACAGCAGATACATTTTAATTTTCTTTAATATCTATCACTATCAGTTGAAATTACTAATCAATTAATTAAATATGTGAGAAATAAAGACCACGTATGTGCAAATTAGTTGACTAACATAGTATGATTTCAAGTTTTCGTTCTTCGATTCATTTATTAATTCATTTCACTCAAACTTTAAGTTACATAACTTCAGCTGATTGAAATTTAATGAAGAAGCACCTGCTAAATACCTTTTGGAATTCCAATAAGTCTTTAACTCTTAGCTATCTGTCACAAAAACTATATTTGATTCCACTTGTTTTGGTGAGGTTTTGTTCTCTGAGTTGAACTTTGCGCTGATGGCGTCATTCAGGAGAACGATGAAAGCTACATGACCAAACTATCCAGCTCCGAAAACAAAACTCCAGCACGACCATCCACCTAAGCTACAAATTTTCCTCACCATCTCGATTTAAAACAAACATTCGAATGAAACGGCTAAAGTATTTAATCTATTTTTGTTTCGTTTTGTATTCGTTCGACATCATTAGTTGTAGTTAAGAATCTGGTAAATCAGCTTGTATCCTGATTATTCAGTCATCGTATGCTACAAAGGTAATCGGAATCTTGTAGACGAAGGGTGATATCATATATCTTTTTCTCGACTCAGCTTTGTCTCCAGAAATATTATTTCTAAGACTATTTGCTCTCAAGTTTTACTGATTATTAGCTGTTTTTTCAATTTAAATATTTTTATTAACTGCAAAATTAAACCTTCTTGTCTCTCAGGTAGTTGGCAGTAAATCTTAAATTTAATGTTCGCACTAGTTGACACTCGTCAACAAGGTTTACCTGCAATTTAAAAGGAATTAATGCTCTGTGTGCTATTCAAACCCACATCGCTCAGTTTCAATCTGAAGCATTACCACTGAGCTGTTTGTGCGGCCTTCGATATCTGAGACAACTACAATTGATTGATAGCTGAGCGTTTGTTAATGTCATGTTTTTCTAGTCCGTTCTTAAGTGTTGGCTGAATTCTACCGACCGACTATCTCCAGCCACTTGACATCTGAACACAGTGCGTAGAATATTAAGTCATTTAGAATAGCGACCAAATTACAACACAGTCGATAGTATTCGATCGGCAGCTAAGAAGAGGCTGGACAAATATGCCATTGGCAACTAATCAGTGATAAATCAGTTGTATGTTCTCTTATTTATTTGTCAATTCTTGAAATTTCTTTATATTGATAATAATATGGAAACACATACTACTTATTTATGTACTATTAGTATGTTTCCTACTTTCTCATTTCAACATTTTTTCTCATAATAGGATTCAATGTCTTCCAATCAAAACTTAACAGTTGTTTGTTGTGGTTCAGTATTCAAAAGTTGGGATCTAATCAGAGATGGTAATTTTCCGTTTTGTATAACGTTTATAATTAAACTGTAATAAAAAAATTCGATGGAAATGAATAAAGTATGTAAACAACGTTGATCGGCTTTCCAGCCAACCGGTAATCAATGTTTGATTATGAATTGAGTTAAAATGAAAAAGCCTAATAATATTACGGTTACTAAAACGGTTTTAACATGAGTAATGGACTTTGCAAATTATTCATTAACGTTTTCATCGGAAGTTACTATATTGATGTAGGAATACTTTGTAGCCAAAACGATGAATAAATTTCGTTCTGTTGAAAATCCCTTCTGTCATATTTCCATTATTTCTTTTTTTAACGTTAACTTCGAATTACCTCTACAAAATTGTCGTGCAGTAGCGATTCTTGGAGTATTTTCACTAATGGCTCTATCGTCTAGACACTTAACATCCAGCCAAAGAGTTGAAGTGTTATGGTTGTTTTAGATCGGAAATCGAATCCATTATATATGGCTGGAACTGAACGACCTTTTTTAGCCATAAAATTTAGTATCCAAAGATTATTGTATTTTATTGCCTCTCTCTGTACTGGTGGACGGCCTATGCTCTTCCACGAGGGGTAACAAGTGTAAGTAAGTGTTGGGAATATATGGCCTAGTGCTATATCTTGATTTGGTCGTTGCTAGCTTTTTTCGACCTACTCTTACGCTGACAAACATTACCTTTTAAGGTATGCAGTGATTAGATTTTCTTAATCTATATTCCAACTAATTCGTCATCTGTACCCTGTACCCCCTCATTTAACTTGAACATTGCTCACTTTATTGTCCCAACATACGCTAGAAATGTTTTGGAGGCATCTGTGATCGAATACTGTTGGCCTCAGTAGTTCGAATCGAAGTAATATTACAGCGTGTGATATGAATTACAGCTAATTTCAGTATACATTTCTGATTTAAATAACTTGCTTTTTGCCTTAAATATTAAAAGTGCCAATACGATGATCGTCTTTGTCATACTTAATCATATCGGTCTGAATACGATCAAATTCATGGATTTCACGCAACAGTCTCTAAACCATGATTAACAATAATCACTATCAACTTAACACCTGGTTAGTGTAAGCGGTTTGTGAAGATTGTTGAGTTTTCTTGCTTGTGTCACAGGCTCTAGTTAGACAACCACTGAAGAACACGGAGCACTGAATGGCTGTTTCGACCTGTTATGGAACTGCTCAGCAGTGTACATCCAGGACCGTATCGGGATCGAACCTAAGACTCATAGTCAACATTTACATAGATATAAGCCATTCTATTTTCGATATAACCTGACATTGTCTTATTATTTGAGCTTTCTTTCTGGTACATTTTAAAGTGGAAAATAATTCGATTAATTTCACAGTTTTCTTTTCTCTTTATTTCAAATAGGTTTTAAAGATTTTCTGAAACCGTCTGAAGATAGTAAATGGACAGGGACTTTAGAATTAGTTCAACTAAAGCATAGTGCGGCTTATGGTGCCGCTCGTCTTTCCGTTCACTTTGATTCCAAAGTGACTATCCCTATAGACTCAGGTGTACAGTTTGATAAAATTTTGTTCGGTGTAAATTTTTAATACTTCCAAATACATATGTGCTTTGACTTTTATATTGTAAGCGACAATATAATTTCTAGTTCTTTTATAATATTTGAAACAAAATTTAGTATTTTTCTGTATTGTTTAAGTAGCATTTTTCAATTTGTTTTGTTTTGTACCCCTATGTGCTCATTTATTGATTCAGTTTAATAAGAAAAAACAAAAAAAATATTGATACGGCTTTTTTTGAACCCCCCCCCTTGGTTACATGAATGTATTTAAAGAAACTATTATGGAAGTATATAATGGTTATCTTGATCAACTCTTAGATGATGTTAAGAATGTCAAGTCTATTTCTGGCCAATCAGAAGATGGGGGTGATATGAATAAATAATTTATTATTTTAATACCTCAATTAAATTGGTGTTCAGATTAACATGTAATAGTAAAGATTTGATGATTGGATTGAGAGAATACTCTGTATCCATAATGGTAAATACTTACGGAGTTAGTTCTGTGATTTTAAACATCAAAAACTGTCAATGCATCTTCATAAATAATTTTAGCATCCGTATGAAAAAATGGTCATTTTTCCATTGTTATTTCAAGAATCGCTCAAATTTGTCCTTGTTTATTAGTCGTGCTATGTATATCTACTATAATTGTCTTAGTCAATAACTGGTAGTAGGCTCAACCTTGACATTTTCTAGGATTTTGATGTAGTGGATCAGTTTAAAATCTTCAAGTGATGAATGGACGTCACAACAGATTGTAAATCACATTTCTATTGTGTATATGCACCGCATAAAGTACTGTCAGTTCCCAAGTGTCTTCAACGCCCCAATTCTTTTATTGAACATTAGATCTGTATTCAGTCCTATAATTCTGTTATATCGTAGATATACATAATCTAGTTACTGAATACTTATACCATAAGAATATATAAATAATATTTGTCCATTAATAGGTCTCAGACTTTACTCGTAATGTAATCTTTACTAGGATATAACAAATTCCACAGTGATAATAATGGAGTACTCATCCAATCATAATCATTATATCTCCATCGAAATGCTAGAATTCGTAGTTATTTATTTCGTTTTCATAATTATAGTCAGTAGATCTTATGAAGTAAAATTTCAGATACATTTGAAGGGATTTCTTCGTAATTTGTATCAGACACAACTCTTAGAGTGTAGTACTGTGGTGCGTGCTACTTATATTGATATAAGTAGTGTATAACGCGAGTCAGGAATGTAATGTCTGGCAGCAGAAGATCAAGAAAGGTAGAACGGGAATAGAAAGCAATTAGTATGGAAATTCAAGAACAATGAAGTTTGAGACAATTATTGAACATTTTGCAAATTAGGTATTATAGTATGGTTTTTCTATTTTACCAAGTAACTCTGTAATGTTATGCTAAATATAATTCGGTTGTCCTCACCTGTGTTCTCCTTCACTACAGTACAACTATTTACTCTTTGATTTAGCAACAATAAATAAAACGTACTCCAATAAAGAACAATTAATTATTGCTCAAGGCTCATATTTTATTAATAATTATTATTTTAATGTAAGAATTAGCATACAACACAATAATGAGAATCAAAGATCAATTTATTATTTTCCATAGCGCACAATACGAACAGCTCGTTTCGGTGAACCAATAGTGAAACCTGGATTGTTCATTAGAATTCGTTTCAATCTATTCATTCTCCTTGTATCTGATCTACCAACTCGTGGAAATAGTGTAGAACGATCTTGTCGATAAAATGTTACCATATTTTCTGGTTCTTCATTTATTATCTCATCTAGATCATCAGAATCAGTTATACTATCTAGTGAATATATTGAGGAAACTAAAACTTGATGTAAAAAGTTTTGAAAATGAAAAGAAGACAAAATGTATTTTTTAAAAATTACTAATTTATCATAATGATAATCAAAAAGAAAGTATACAACTTATCAAAAGGCTTGAACTGAGAAATGAGACTAACTTTTCTGTGGGAAGCAGAAAGATACTAAATATATGCTAAGTTTGAACTTAATAGCTGAAACTAGAGTTTATGTCAGCGTCAGCAAAACGAAATTTATCATCTGGTAAGGTTGTCTGTAATTAAGGTACTAGGTGAATGTTTTATAAATTTTGTAATGAACTATACCGCAGAGAAATGAAAAAAACCCAGTTTCTATGGTTGAATTAGCTAGTTCTGACACGTGTAGTGTCCATTGTCATGTTAAGCCCATATTACCTTATTCTAGCTTTCGGACAGGCCAATCCATTCATTATAGTTGATTTGTATTTTGACCTTGTTAATCATTCGCTTATCAATCTTGACTGTTTTTATGTGAGCGCGTATATGTGTGTACGCTTCTTATCCCATTACTCATCACATATCTGTAGCCTATTTTTGTGTGACTAAATATTGATTAACGCCTAACTAAAGGGAGTTGGCTTACCCGCCATCTCCATTGCGCGTCGTTTCTCTTCGTTCTATTCCATTCGCTTCATATACAAAATGTATGTATTCAAACGCCCATTCTCGTTATTTGACTTATTTAATTCCGTTATTCACTCAACGTGGATTAAGTCGATGAAATACACGAGGATAGGCGACATATATATTTCGACAGCGATCATTCATACGACCTACTTGGAGTCAGATCCCGGGTCACTAAAGTGGAGAGCCCGTCAAAAAACATCGTCCAATCTAAATGACGAGAAAATAAAGGGCCCCACTAAACACTAAATGAGACATAGATTAAACATAACTTTCGAATACGCTCTAAACTGATGCTGAATTTTCAGAGATGAATATTTACTTAGTTAACATCCTAAATTTCCAGTAAGTGTTTGTGGAGATTGTTGAATTTCATTGAGTTCTAGTGTCGGATATGAGGCAGTTAATTACCTATCGAATGCAACGGAAGATAGTCACGCACTGTTGTGGATTGATTGAATTTAGACATTGAAACCGTTGGATTCCGGCTCATTGGTCTGGGAGTTAAGAGTTGGCGCGAAAAAAGGTTCTGGGTTCGGTCCACGCTTGTGGGATCGTGGGTGCTGACTGCTGAAAAGTCGCACTCCAGGCCGAAACGGACATCCAACGTATACATGTTTTCAGTGTTGGTCAAACTTGCTTCGGTTTATGATCTTAATGAAATCACATAATTTCTCCTACAGGAGAAACCAGTGAGTCAAACATTTCATCTCGTTGAAGTTTGATTATTTACCGTTTTTCCAGTTCTCAACGTGAGATCCTAAGAAATGTATCTAAATTTCGTGTTTCTGATTGTGTTTAACTCCCCCTACGATTGTTGCAGAGATTCACGTAATTTGATGCTGATCAGTTGATCGATTCTAATTCTGACTGTAGGAAAGACTCTTACTCTCGTAAAATTTCAATTCGTTTGGTTTAACTGTTCGTCTGTATTTATTGATGAATCTGAATCGTCTTAAATTCATTGTGTTTAGGGAATTTATTATTCTATGTGTGTTTACAGTATCGCTTTTCAGTAACCCTTGGTACTTTCTTGTTATTTATTAGATTTAACCGAAATAAATGTTGATATTTTGTATTTAAGTATTTTGTTCATGTGTTTCCCTTATATCTCATTTTTCGGCATGGCTAGGCTCCATACAAAAATAGATGGTAGCCCAAAGTTAAATGCCTGTTTGTTCAGAGTACTAGGCTTTGGTTCGAGAAGAAAAATTGGGACCAAAGAACAAGCACTAGGATTAAGAAGACTAAATCTTATTAAAAAACAGTTGTTCGATAACCTAGCGTTGCGCAATCTGAAACAATCAAGCGACAGAAGCGTCTAGTCTATTATTAGTTCTACATTTCTTGCCTCCAACTGACTCGATATTTTAGAAAGGTACGCTTTTCGCACTGATACACAACGTTTACATGGATCACCAGCAGCTGACCTAACCATAGATATTGGTAGTTTCAATTTTGTGGATATCACGTTTGTTTGAGTGGGACGAACCTGACAGAATAAAACTAGATTTGTTACACCAGAAATACTTTTCCTCCACTAGAATTTAAATTTTGTCTCATAAAACAAATAGTTACCGATCTAAAGGACAAGATCTGCTTGTCAGTCCAGTTCTGGTTATAATGGCCAAAACTGTAAAATGAATGTGAATTATTTCCGAAAAATACTTCATGAGGCATATCAGCCATCAAAGACACGAATAAAATCCTATTCAACAATGTTATGACATGAAAACTACTGCACACGATCGACCTGAAACTCTTAAAGCTTTAAGGACCCTTTGGACGATACTTAGATACCACGATATTGTATGATATACAGACAGCTGATAGCGAACTTGGCGGTATTCAGAAGAAATGCAAATCAGCTGAAACCACTATCATAAAAGGTAACATAGCCCTTTCAGCTATCTGTTCATATCAGCTGAAGTTATCTTCGTTAGCTCTTGATTCTATGGATAGGTTGAATATCATACTGTATTCAACTGTTTTTATTTCTTTGGACTTATCATAAATATGTAAGATTTTTCAACGTTTGGATGGCTTTTTTTATTGATTCGATGTAATTAGAATATATGCGGATATATTGTAGTTGAAATCCAAAACTTCTGCACTTCAATTCACTCTTAATATATTCAACATGAAATTACTTAATACAACCGTTCAATTTCAGTGTATCAATTGTACTGAATATGTTCACTAAGTTTATTCAACAAAGTTTTCTGATGAAATAAAATATTTCAGGTTACAATTTATAAATATTTAACCTGCCCCGACGTTGCTCCATTGTCTTGTGGATTAGACCTTTAGGTTGAAGGATCCGGCTATGACCCCCTAAAAAAAACCACCTACTTCGGTTTGAGTACCCGAGCAGTATTTCAGCCTACACACAAATCAAGTGACTTGTGTGCCGCATATATGTTCGGTGCCCCGTTTCATTAGTATTTATGTGTTCAAATAAATAGAAGATTCTGATAAAATAATAGAAGGAGTTAAATAGTACATGATACGGTGATTTAATTCGATATAAGCCAAATGATAATTGAGAAATCTTGATGAGTTTACTCTATCAGTCAAAATTCGGGTTCATTTTCCAAGGAAATTGATATACACTATTGATTGAAAATGTGGCTAAATTTTCTATGAATCATAGTGATCTACACATATTGTTTACTATTCGGATTCAAACCAATAAAATCTCTTGATTTTCTCACTTAATTCATTTAGGCTAGTTAGATAGAAATCTTGCACAGTAGTCTAGGACTTGAACCACTACACATAATATAACAGTAGAAATCAAATATTGTTGATAAAAAAACTCAATAAACAGTTCCATCAATTTGAAAAACAAACGTATTATCTTACCGAATAATAAAATTAGATAATTGAATCGTATTATGTAATCCATTATAAATCTATATAAAAAAATAAATGATCAAGTGAAGTATATAAACTTTTACAAATATCGAAAAATCGTACTTACGCTTGTTACTCCTCATGGAGGAGAATAGGCTGCCTACCAACACTCTATCTATGTCCTGGGCAACCCTTTCCAGTTGTTACTCATCCTTTTCATATCTGCTTCTATTTCCCTATGTAAAGTCTTGCTTAGTCTTCCTCTTTTCTGTTTCCCTTCAGGATTCCAAGTTAGAGCTTGCCATGTGTGCAGTTTGGTGATTTCCGTAATGTATGTCCTATCCAACTCCAACGTCTTTCGCTAATTACCTCATCATCTAGAAGCTTGTCTGTTATCTCTCACAGTAGGCTGTTGCTGATGGTATCCGGCCAATGGATGTTGAGTATCTTGCGTAGACAACTGTTTATAAATACTTGTAACCTTTCGATGATCGTTGTGGTAGTTATCCAAGTTTCAACTCCATACAGTAGAACTGTCTTGACGTTCGTATTGAAGATTGTGACTTTGATATTCGTTGGAAGTTGTTTTGAGTTCCATATGTTGTTCAACTGTAGGAATGCGGCCATTGCTTTACCAATCCTTGCCTTTACGTTCGCATCCGATTATCCTTGTTCATCGATGATGCTTTCCAGGTAGGTGAATGATCCTACATCTTCCAGAGTTTCTCCACCAAGTGTGATTGGGTTGGTGTTCTCTGTATTATATTTCAGGATCTTTCTTTTTCCCTTGTGTATGTTGAGGCCTACTGATGCAGAGGCTGCTGCTACACTAGTTGTCTTCATCAGCGTTTATTCTTGTGTATGCCATAAGCGGGCTAGATCATCTACGACACATAAATCTATTTAGGAATAATATCTATCAATCTATTATAACTCTTTTAGTTGAGTCTTAAAGATAGTGGAATTCAATAATTTGAGGCATTGTCAGTCGAAGGTCAGAACAGAAGTCACTGATAATCCCACAAGATTTTACAATTTCATTCTTTATGAAATTTATCGAAATTCTCTTGACTGAAAAAAAAGTTTCTTTCAGCTAGTTTGGACTTCTATTATTGACTATTTTTCACCGATTGATGTTTCCTTTTCATAATTCTATCTCTCTATTTGTATCACGTAAACTGTTTTCAGTGTCCAGTTGTACGAGAATTTAAGTATAATACGTAAATTATTGTAATTGAAAGAGTAATGACTGTAAAACTTGCTTTTGGAAACCACTTTAATTTTTACGATGCAATTAAGAGTATGAAGATTAATAATTGGAAAGAATTCAGTTAATCCTTCAGAAAACATGTAAGCTAATTTGAACAACACACCCATTTTTTAAAATCGATTTTACGCACAGATGACTAGTAATTAATAAACATTACATGTTATCAGATTGAGGGTTTGTGGAGATTGTACTAATTTTAGTAGTTGAATTCATGAGTCCATGTAAAGTAAATCACCATCGATAACCTGGAAGCACTGGACGACCGTCTTGTTCAAGTACGGGACCCCTCAACAGTGCTCATTCACGATCCCACACGCTTGGTTCGAACTCAGGACCTTCGGTCTTGCGTGCGTACGCTTAACCTCTTGACCACGGAGTCGTACTTGGATTTCTGTGAAGACACATGCTGTATGTCGTTCAGACAAGGTTCTTAATAAACCGATCCAAAGAATATTATACTGGATAAACTTCACAATTAAAATAAAATGGTGTTATACTGAAAAAAATATCACACTACAAATTAAACTGATTTTTAAATTGGGTGGCTATTAAACTGAATCAAAATGGGAGTAACATTGAACAGCAACCACGCTGAGTTGAGAAATAATCTCTTCTTTATCTCATCCCTACATAAACAAATTTCTGAACTTATCTCGCAAAGTCAAATCAATTTATTTCAACGGAGTTTGTACGAGAAAGTTACTCAGAAACGTTTAGATATTACATCGTTTCAATCCTAATCTCCTGATCCAAGATTGACCTGTTCATCACTCCTTTATTTTGTAATGTTTCTAAACTCCTTTTTTCACTGTAAGGCTCGCTATTAACACATTTCAGTTTCTTCTTTATGTTTGTCAAGTCGATCATTTAGCTTCCTACCTTTCTTCCTCAAATGATTCTCACTTAATTACTTCTTCAAACATTTCGATCATTACATGTTTGTTCGACACAGAAAATTTTTAATAATTTTGCTTAATCGTATCATCATATTTATATTTCATAACAGGCTTATATTCGTCCGGTAGTGCTTTTCACGACATTATCTTTGATACTGGCAGTATTAAGTCCATCATTTCAGTTCGGAAGTTGGAGTCGTTAAATCCCAACATTATAATTAAGCCTATTAAAGTTTACATTTAGAATATCACAAGTCATAAACTTCTCGAGTGTTTTGATTTGCTGAATAAAGGATAGCTTTCCTTATTGACCACTGAAAACGGTTCTAGTGAAATGCTTGATAACCTGTTATTCACAGAATCGACTTGCGAAGAATTACTCACGACTCCAAAGCCCACTCATTCTGATGCTCAAACATAACATTTCTAGTCCTTGAAAGCAAACATCAATTCTATAACTGTTACAAAATTCAAAGATCCAAAGATGAGACTAGATGAAGTCTTTGAGTGCAGAATTACCAAACTGTACGCAAATTAAACAATGATGAAATTGTTTAAACAAAAACAACGGTTGTATAAATAAATAAAGTATACAGTCTTCCAATATTACATACAATTGATGAAAGTTTTCGTTAATGAAATTGCTCATCATTTGCTCAACAGTGAGCATGAGGTTGAATTTTTGAAATCTTTCAGAATAATCAATAAACAAAAGAATTTCAAACTGTTTATACCGAATTTTTATGTATCCAAAATAAACAGTTATCAATCTTGTTTTATCCTATGGAGTTTATTACGTAAGACTTTGTTTCTATGCTTCCATGACATTTAATTAAAATTCCACGATCTTAATCCTTACTTCTCAACTTGTCTATATTACATAATCTATCTATTTTTGCTTTAGAGAAGAAGGATATTTCCTTTTTTTTCTCCTTAATCTTCTAGAATATTCACATATTTATTCTAATAATAGGCAAACTTTAGAATAACTTTAATTCCTACGTATTATGGTTTCTTAATATTAATATTCTATCTTCATACTTTAGCTCAGTTTACTCTAGATGTTGTGAGCATCTAAGAAGGATCATAGCAATAAAGGAATTCATGTAATTCAACTATAATATTTGTTCTCGCTTTATTCAAGTCCTTTGTAAGCAAAATGAACAAAATGTCATTATACTACTGTTCAATAATCAATAGTATAATTGAGTAGTCTGAAAATCATTTAGTTCCTTGTATCAAAAAAATTGGAATCTCGAAATAAATATGATTTACTTAAGCTGCACATTCGTATTTATACTTACATGGTTAATATATGTCTATAGAAGGTTAGAGAACATTACATCATAGATCGATTCGAGACTGTTATCATTAGATGAGGTTATGCAATGATCATGGGGTAAAAGCAAAATATAAAGATGAAAATAATTTACTGGTCAAATATGAAGAAAAACGAAAAACATAAAGGACGGAATAATAAAAACTGAATGGTAACCAGCAAAACTATTTTAACGTTAATAGTAACTGACTACAGTTCGAAATTACAACACACTTTAGAAGATTAATAATAATAGCGGGAAAAAAAAATCGAAACATACTACAAAAGGGAATTAGGGCTAAGGAAGGATGCGAAGTTGGACGTAGCGGTTTTGCACGCAAATTTCAAGCTTGAGTCGCTGTATTGCCAATGCCTTAGCAGTGCATATGATTTTGATCCCTCCTCCCTTCGATATAATTCATATGACTATGTAGATTATTTTAAAAGATGACTCCTTTGCAGGGAAGTATCCTTAGTTGATTAAATGCTCCTGTATTGAACCAACAATTGTTTCGCATTTTCGCTTTAAAAGTCATGCCGGACTGCGCACTGAGATACTTTTGGAAAGTGGTCAATGTAACCTGCCACACAAGAGCAAGTAAATTTATAGATTCATATTGATGTGGCTTAAAACGGAAGTTTATCCTTAACACATACATGAATGGTAGTGTTATATCCCAATGAGTATAGTGAATGGTATCTGTCGGAATCTATTTTTGGACTAATAATAAACTAAGCATATTATTGTTCCTCCTATTATAAGCTTTATTTTGACACATAGAAAATTATTATACAATTTACTATTCTTGAGTTATGCCCTGTCTATCACTTACTATCTCCCTAATTCACAGCCACATTTGACCAAATCTTGTACAAATGTTATTTCTCATTTTATGCTACAATGTGGTTTGTCTGAATGATGTATAAACCCAGTATGTTTGAAATACATGATTGATATCGTAGAGGTTGAGAATGGTGTTCTGTATTTAACAGTTTTTGTTAGACAGGAAACAGGACCGATAATGACTTTAGACTGCTCGTACGGATTCCGTGTGTCGTTGGTCCAGTCGATAAGTCACACAATTCTGTAATCGACAATATCATCACATTATACGGTAATAAGACACAGGGTACAAGTAATAACAGGTGGACCAGCTTGAGAACAGAATTTGGAGCTTAACTGAATAGAACGTTATTTATCTATTTATTTGAACACATAAATATTAGTACAAGAGGGCACTAAATATATTTGCGCCACACCATATTTGTGTGTGTGGGCTGTGATACTGCTCGGGTGCCCAGACCAAAGCAGGTGGTTTTCTTAGGGGGCCACACCCACAGCCTTCGACCTAAAGGTCTGATCCACAAGGCAGTGGAGCAACGTAAGTGAGGAGATGCAGTCCCATGGTAGCCGGTGACCAACGATTGGTTCATACGCCATTTGTTCCTTCAGGATACTGTAGCCCATGTGCACCATTGGTTTGGAATCCGGTTAAAGCGCCGGATATTCGCTTTTCGTTCTCTCAATTTCGTAAACAACACTCCCGCCACGAGAAGGCAATGAGTAGGACTTCC